TTGAATTTCGCATAGCCTTGCTTTCACAAAAGTTGTTCTCATTTGGGCTGAGGTGAGACCTCGCATAGGTCTTATCAACACCCCCAGCGGGAGTCGAACCATGGTAATACAGCATGTGAGCTTGACACGTTAACTATTCGTCCGCATTTTCACGAGTTCCCTTGCCTCACAGGGCAGATGTGAATATCACTTAAGGCCAGGCCCTTACCCATATCACATTCTTTGGTGGGATTGTCGATGAAGCAAGCGTATTTTTGCTATGACAATCGACTATATTACATATTTATCGTATATAAGTCGAATTTCAAGACTATCAGTAAACCAGTGATATGGGATGTATACACTCGAACGGGATCCTTTTTATACTGTTTTATTTAGCACACTTGTCGACTATTAAACAAATGCTAAACTATCTTTTCCCACATTCGGTGGGCGTTTGAGTGAAGTTCATTTCGAAACATTGAAAAGTGAGACTTTCTGGATTATTGAAAATTCCGCTACAGTAAGGCTATTAGCAACAAATGGCCATCCCTCACTAAGAATATGGTGAATAATAAGTGAAAATTGTACTTCAAAAAAGTGGTACCTGATCGGCTGTTCTGTCGGGCAGATCCGGATCATATGAATAGAGGTCTGGCGTAAGACAGGCCTGAGCCTCGGTACTGCTCCATGCCACTTTCGAAACCCCGTCTTCCCGGAACCGGATCACCAGGGGGCTGGGTGTTACGCGAAGATAGAGACTGCCGGAACCTGTCATGAAGGGTCGGTCTTGGTCGGTGGTGTTGGAGGCGCTTTTCAGATTCACAGCCAGCTTGACCAGATAAAGACCAGGCTTTAGAGTTCCAGGCATCAAAGTTAAATGGTTGAAGCCCTGTTTGGCCAATTGGTTGATGGCAGCTTCCATTGCCGCATGGTCGGCTAGACTTAAAGGACCCAACGTCGCCTCGTCCATAGCGTCGATAGTCCATTCTTGTGACACAGCTTGATCCGGCGAACAGGTCATCATGTCCACCTTGGCAGTAATCTGGATCATTTGGCGCCTCGAGAAGACGACTGGCAATTCCGGACTGTTCAGGCCGTTGAGGCCGGGAACCGTGAGGACGACCTTCGGAGGAGAGCAGGCCGCCGAAGTGACCGACACCGAAGTCCAACTTCTGACCACTTTTTCCACGGCCTCGGGGTCCACCACCGTCACATTCACCATGTAGACGGCGGGTTTCGTGAAGACGATCGGTACCGAAAATTCACCAGTCTCAAAGAGGCTGTGATGCCCGGCCGGCCGGTCGCCGGTCGACTGGCACTGGCTCAGGTTGGCTGCAGACTGGCCGAGCGGCAAGAAAACGCGATCAACACCGTCCGAGACGCACAGAAGAGCGTTCTGCGTCACTCCGTCAAGCCTGACGATCAGGTTGCCCTGCTGACCGACCAGCAGCGAGGCTGGCGACAGACTGAGCTCGAGCGAACGAATCTGCAGGACTGTGACGAAGCGAAATCGCGGAGCTGACACAACCGGGCTTAGTGGGCTCTTGGCCGAGAGGTCGACAAAATACGTCCCAGCCTGTTGCCAAAGAGAAAGATACATTAGCAATTAGTTGTTAGAGTCGAATCCGGCTAGAACGGGATTCGAACCAGTGTCATGCGCATCATCTGACTGTGTCAACATGATACCACTCAGCCATTTGGACTTGGCTCACAGGGCAGATGAGGCTTTCATGGTGAGCCTAGCTACGTCAAATTCACTTTTTTATGGGAACATTATAAATTCATGAGCTGTACTCACTATAATTTGCTTAAGGTGATGAAGTAATGATAGCTGAATTTCCCACATTAATATGAGTAGGCCTCATGTTTCAATTTAATTTCATAGAGCCTTGCTACCCAAACGTTATTCTCATCCAGACTGAGGTAAACATAGTTTTAGACCTCGCCTGAGTCTCGTCATCATCCTTCGCCGGACACGAACTAGGATATTTCAGGGTGTAGTCTCGACACGGTGACCACTGCCCCGAGTGTCATTGGTTCAGAGGACAGATACGAGCTTCCAGGAAACCTAGGTGATATGGGAAAGACGTATGCTTCCTTGAAATTCACATTTGTCCTGTGACTTATCTGCATTCGGGGCCGCGTGGCGTAGTAACCAACATGTCGAGACTAAACGCCGCACTGTCACACTCCGAGCTCGAGTCCCGCTGCGGGTGCTGATGAGACGTGGACGAGGTAGGAATTGCAGTCCAGCAAACAAGGCTTTATGAAAACAAATGTGGGAACAATTGAAGTATTTTTAATTCCACACCTTAAACGAAATAGAATGGACACAGCTTTTATATCAATTCTACCGGTAGCCTCGGCAACCAAGCCTCACTAATTGTCTT